ATATTTTTTATGTTTTAGTGCGTTTATATATATATTGAATAATTTTTAATATTATATAATTAAATATTAATAAACGACATCGCTCTTACGATCGCTTTCCGGGCTGAGTTCAAAACCTGGGTCCGCCACTGTATGTAATATGATTTTATTTTTTAGTTTTACATTCTTGACAACCAAAAACACGTTTTGGGATATTTGAATGATTTATATGAATTTAATTTTCTCCATAATTATATGCACGAATGATTGTGTGAGTTTGGTTGCTTATTTCATGCATTCGAAAGAAAGGTAATATGTTCGACATATATAAATTATCATAGGGTTCGATAGGAGATAGAAATATACCGCTATGCCTTATGTGAATCTTTAAGTGTTCATTAAAACTCATGCATTCTTGTATGTTTGCATCCTTTATAGAGATATAGTTGGGTCACATATTTGAATATGTTTAATTCTACTTAAGAGAGATTGTTAAATAATTTAGAAGTATTGATTCTTCAATATTTCAACCGTATGTCAAGATGTAGAACTAAGTTTAAAATGAATATTACATAGGGATTCGTGATCCTAATACATTCATCATACATTATAAAACACTTCAATTTACTTTCATCATCAATTTGTATTTATTTAGTTAATTCATTCATATTTTCATGTTGATCATTAATTTAGTTATAATTTCATCAAAACAAACATTTTCATTTTTATAGTTTCGGTTAAGGTCATGGTAATTAGAATTAGAACTAATCAATTTTCGTGGGAACGATATTTGGACTCAAAATTCATTTTATTATTTTTTAACGAACCGTACACTTGCGGTGATTTTAATTCAACATATTTTCGTAAACATGTTGCACTATGCTATACCATTACGCATCTAGGTAAGTTTTAGATGACAAATATTTTTTGTTCTTCGTAAAAAATTGTCTCTTGTTGTAAGTTTATTTTGGGGGTCGATACAATAATAAATTTTCTTTGAGTAACTTGACTCACTTTTTGATCAAAAGTGTTTATAAATAAATAGAAATGGGTCTCTAGTAGGAAAAATGCTTGATGCAGTAGTAAAGCTCAACACCAGACAAGTCCTTGCACAATACTTGATCTACTCGAAGACAAGGTTCATTGGTGAACTCGTTTTTATCTTAAACGGCAAAGAAGAAGATGATGGCTATTTTCTCATAGCGGAGGCAAGAATAAATGAATTACACGTCCACATCCACCATACTGAACATGTTCTAAGAGGTCGACCTTGTAATTTTAACACAATTTTGTACTAATTTTGCAGTATGCAGTTTCAACCCAAAGCTTCGTTATTTTGTATTCCAAACTTGCAGTACGGAACACTGCTCTTGTTGGAACACTGCTCTTGTTGTTGCAAGATTTGAAGTTCCAAGACACTTGCATTTTTCTCTTGGCTTTCACCGTTTTTGGGCTCCTAGACAATTATTCAAAGCGTCATCACAAGTATTCTTACGAACTGTTTGGCGAGACTTTGAAAAGTTAAAAATTGCTTTTGAGACTAAAAAACTATTTTTGAATATATTTGAATAATTTTAAAAAATGTTCGTCTGACTCTAAAATTATAAGGGTCCGTTTGATTGCAAATGCAGAAAATTGGTGGAAAGAAAATGAATTCCAGGGAATTGAATTGTCTAGAAATTGTTTTACTGATAATTGTAATTAATTATGTTTGATTGGTATAATTTTCCACTTGGAAAATGTTGAAAGTTTAGTATCCGTTTGTTTTTGTTTTTCATGGAAATCGTCCATTAATGTGATAATTTTTTCTACCATTGGGTCTAGAATTTGTTCCAATTAGAAAAAAAATTAAAAAAAATACTATACCAAGTACCATTCGTTTGACTTTATTTTACATGGAAATTGTTAATAAAGTGATAGATTTTTTTACCATTGTATCTATAATTTTTTCCAATTGTTAAAAAAAAAAAAAAGTGGAAAACAAAAAACCACCAAACATCAAGAAAACATTTTCCTTGAAAAATGGCTAAAAGGGCGCGTGAGGGGTGGGGGGGGAGGAAATTGAATTCCGTGGAAAATATTGCCGTCAAACAGCCAAAATCTTGGAAAATGGAAAATATTTTCCATGGAAAATGTGACATATCAAACACGGCCTAAGAGTATAGAGAAAATTGATTTAAGATAACTTTTTCAAGAAACTCTTCTACAAAACTTGAGGGCAAGGCAATGAAGATAACAACTTGAGGTATAGGTAGACTTTTGCAGAATATATGTTGTATCTATATAGCTCATGTTTGATATGCAAGACTTTATTTATTTCTTGTTCAATCTTGTCAAGTTTTGTTGTATTCGCTACAGTGCATCGATTATGTATGTGTATACAATAATGCTCCTAGTATAGGAGCATTATTGCCAGGGGGCCTCACCAGGCACCTCACTGTGCCGAGGCCCAACAAATGTATACTCCAAGCATGGCCCATGTGTATATTACTGCTATAGAAGGAGAAATAGACCTAGAAATAGTTGGGAAAGGGGTCTTAACAGTGAGATGTAAATACAAGCATCATTTTGGCCTTTGAAGTTTTTAGCTCGAACTTTTTCCAATTAGATTTTACGGCTATGATAAGATTTTTCAACATAACACATATTTTTTCAATTTTTATCAAAATCTACTAAAAATTTGATTTATATCATAAAACAGGGGGCATAAATAAGATCTTAGAACTCCATTTGTTCAAATTGGCACATTAAAAACTTAAATTCAACAAAAAGTATATATAATTTCAGTTTTTCTTGAGTAATTTGATATTCACAACTTTATGTTTAAAACTTTATCAAAAGCAACTAAACTCAAAAAGTATGAGCGTGTTTGGGAGCAATTTTTGTGGGATTTTAATTAAAATTATAGTCGTCATAGTCAACTTGTGGGCCCCACGTGTGAGAGGGAAAGTAAAAAATGGTGGCTGATTTGATAGTTAACGACTGAAATTTTGATTAAAATCTTGATTAAAATTTCTCCCAAACAAGGCCTATATAATGTTAGCTTTTCTTGAATTATTTTGATATTCACAACTTTATGTTTAAAACTTTATCGAAAGCAACTCTGTTTAATTGATGGGTCAAATCAACGAATGCTGTCACAAAACTTTCAAAAGATCACTACTTACTCATCAACTAAAAACAGTACCTAATTACTCGCCCATTTATTAAAAAAAAATCTTATCCACGGTTCATTAAGAATCAGTTTACATGTCTTGACGAAAAAGGACTACGTGGCTGACGGTAAATGCTTCCGTTAAGCAAAAAACGAAACCAATGAATGCTCATTAAGTTAGTACTTATTCATTGAATTAAAAAATATATGTTATCGCGCGCTCATCTATAAAAAGAATTTCACATCCACCATTCATCAAGAGTTTGTTTCCTTCTCTTGATGGAAAAGTAAGCATGACAAATGCAATTTCACCTGGCACTGAAATGACGTTAAATGCTTTCACCTTTAAGAAAAGGGCAATCAACCACAAGATATAGCACTCATTCTTCCATGGAGCAAAAATTAATTGACTAAAATAGACAAAGCTTCTCACTTTCTGATCATCACCTTCCAGTTCGGGTACCGCTTCTCATTTATTCGGATCCTCTTCTGGTGAAGTTCCCATTTCTAGCCTCTTCGTCTCCTATTCTTCTGGCTCGGGTCCTTCTCCAAGCATGTTCGGATTCTCGTCTTCTGATCCAGCCTTATTGGGATCAGCGTCCTCCGGCTTTGCTTCTTCATCTTCTTTTGGTGTCTCCCCACCTCCAGCTTCGTTTCCAGTGAGCTCGTTCGGGTCAACCTCCTCCTACTCTTTTACTACACATGCCTCCCCTCTGTTTGGCTCAGCTTCCTCTTCAAGTCATGTCGGGGTGACCTTGCCCACCTCTTCTCATCCATCTCCTTTCGAATCTACAGCTCCCATCCGTTCGAACTTGTTCGGGTCACCTTCCTCTGCCTCCGCTCCTTCATTTTCTTACGGAATGTTTAGCTCTAGAGCTCCGGCCAATTCATGCTCATTTGGGTCAGGTTCGACTTTCGTATCCGTTTCATTCAAATCATCTTCATCTGCTCCTAATGCCTCTGCCACTACTGGAATCTTTGGCTCCGCATCGTGCCGGACCTCTTCTAGCGGCGCCACCACCACTACTGCAACTATCAGTTCGTTATCTCCATCCATAAAAAATTTCACTCCTGCGACCTCATCAGTATCAGAAACACAATCAACAGCTGCTCGGCCTTATATTGGTGAGGTTTTCTTGTCGCTTTCTTCTGTGTTTATTAGATTTTGTGTACACTATCAGAAAGCTAGAGTTACTTTGTTTCTTAAGTGTTACATTTTCCATTATCTTGGTGTGCTATTGTAGTGCTTTTTAAGGATCAAATCAAAAGAGTACTGTAATGGAAATTGCTTTGACCAAGTTGTCTTACATTCTTACTTGAGTAGGAACAAGAAAAAAGGTTATGGCTTTTGTAGTTAGTAATTAATGAGGGCACAATTGATTTATGCTTTCAGAATGTGTAAAATATCAGTCAGGTTGACATTGAGGCAATATCCTATGTTAATGAACTCATATATGAGCATTAGGTCAGCTGTTGGCATAATGAACTGGGAAAACTGATCTATCAAGCCTCCAATATGTTGATATGTATATCCAAAGAAAATTGAATTTCTTTAACTACTTTCTTCATTTATTTGCATTTTCTATGGATTAGTTGGCACCGAATGGATAAAATTGATTGATAACTAGCTATTTGTTTAATTTTGTAAGTTGTAAGTAGAGAAAGATAAAAAAAATTGTTCTGCAGCCTGTAGTTTGTTGATTAGGATTAGGTCATTAGGAAGGATAGATTTTCTTGTTTTTGCACATTTTGCACTAAGGCCTGTTTGGTACACATTATTATTTTTTATTCTCATTCTTCTACTCATTTTCAACCACACATTCTTCAATAAAATAATATTTTCCATCACATTAATAACTTTTTCTTCATTTTTAACCATACATTCTCCATTAATCTACTATTCAATAATACATTCTTTCAAAAGAATGTGTCCCAAACACACTCTAAATTTCCAGAATTTCTTGGATACCTGTTACATGTATTTGTATATGAGCAGTGGACTTGTGGCCTGGAATATGTCTGAATATGTTTGTTATAACATGGGACTCAAAAACCATATACCTTATTTAGCTTCCTTGTTATTTCATAAAATGATTTTCAATGTGATGTAGTGGTCAAAATAAGCATTTAGCTTAATTTTGAAAGCAACTATATAACAAGGGAAACTATCTAGAATGTCGTGTCTTATAGTTTCTGTCGACCCTAATAGTTTACTGTGCTTTCTTGGTATATGATGTATTCAGAAGCACTCATCTGCCTCTACCAATGTATAAAAGCATGTGTCGTGTGAGAAGTACTTCTTATGTGCTTTTAAGAATTGCTATGTGCATTTGTCCTGAATAGTAGGGGTTAGGAGCTTCTCCTTGGGTTTACAGAGTTTGCTTAAATAATTTCAGAGCCATCTTTTCCTCTGCTGGGAATTGTAATTGTTCTGATTTTTATCTTGTGGTAGGTGATGACGAGATTGGGAGTGAGGCTGAGCAGGTGAGTGAAAGTGTTGAAAAGGTGCCAATAGATCAAATGGCAAAGATAGGCGAAGACCAGGATGAAAAACAAGGCACTATGGTTGGTAGGCAGGATTGTGCTACCTCGTCTATGGATCCCATCACTAGAATTATTGAGACAGCCATTCCAGCCAAAGTGCATGTTGCTACTGCAGAGGAAATGGCTACTGAGGCAAATAAACCATCGGCCAAGGAAATTGATGACGAGCCTCCAGAGAATTCATCTACTGGGAATTCATCTACTGTATCTGAAGTTTTTGATGGAGATAAAATTGGTCATCCAGCATCTGGGAGTCCCGCATCTATTGAATCCACTCCGTTTGCAGACTTCGAGGATTTAGCTCTAGCTTTGCAGAATTCTTCTTCGTCCCAGTATGCTCCTATCTTTAACCAAATATTAGGCAGATATGGTGACATCAGTAACGAGAGCAAACTCAAGAGTGTGGAGGCTAAGGCAGCTTTCTTTCAGCTGTTGGCTAAAGTTGTTGAATGGTTGAGCAACCATACTGTAGAGAGCCTTGATTCTGGTGAATTGCAACGCATGCAGGAGTGGATAGATGATGCAGAAGCTGTTGGGTTTAAGGTAAAATGGTTGCAGCAGAGGTTTAAAAATATAGTTACAGTTTCTAGATACCAAGAACGTCTGATGCAGTTAAATGAGATAGGTGAACAGATCAGTGCTACAAAGATAGCTCTGACAGAGATGGAGATTCGACAAATCACTTTAAAGGAGGAGGTTGATACCATGACGGTTGAACTTGATGGTGATAACTTTGATGAATCCAATCTATGTGAAGGGCTCTTCTAAAGGATTGGCTAGGAAATGGAATTAGTAATGCTGTTTTAGCTTCGTATCTAGTCCCGCCTACCTCTCTATGTCCCTCTTTCTTCTCATGTTACTGCACGGTCGTAATCAGTGAAATGTATAAACTTCTAAATGTTAAGTATGGTATGTAAATATGTTGTGTTCAGTGCTTGTTGTGCTATCATTTCCTACTAATTCCTGTCCATGCTTACTATTATTGCCATCCTACGATAGACAGTTAACCTGAAAACAAATAAAACTTGTGATCCAATTGTGTCTTCTAGAAAAGATGACTTGCTTTAGATGTTTGAAGCTTCTCTCTCGAGATTCGATCTCCATGGAGCAGTTGTGAGTGGTTCGAGTAGGTTTTTAGATTGATCCTTGTGGACTGGACGATAGCAATCGATGTTTGACCTTTTTCAAACTTGACCTCATACTACGTGAATTTGAGCCTTATAATGAGGTAACACGTGAAGTCATGGGAAAATGTCTTCCTGACCCAAACAGGAGCCGATTTTCATATGAACTATTAAGGGAAGCAGAGACAGCATTAGTATCCTAATTGTGCAACTATAGTGAAAGCTATAATCGATTTTATTCATGTTTACTTATTTTTCCCTTTCTATTCAACTTCTTTTTTTGCCCGAGTTTAAAGTATGCATAACAAAGTCATGGGTTACACTTTTTTCTTTGTGGTTGTAAAAAGCTGTAAACTAGAAATAACAGCTATTTATCTCAATGAATGTCAAATATTCCAAATCCATATTTTTGAACGGGAAATTGCAGCAGCAGTCCCTAACCTTTCACTTTTTTTTTTTTTATAGATTTTACCGTAACCTTCACTTTGTGCGACTCACAGTTCCGAACATTTCAAAAATATGCACTTGAGATCCGAATGGATGGAAAGACCGTTATTTAGTTGACCAGAAAAGTCAAAATTTAATCAATTTTGACCAAATTAAGAAGGGCAAAATGGTATATTTACATTTTCCCAAATATTAACAATTACAGCAATTAAACTAAAAAAAAAAATCTGCCCTACCCACCCTAAACCATACCCTCCCTCCCATTTTCATCATCTTTTTCGTTTTCTTGTCAGAGATAGCCACGAAGCCGTCACTCCCTTCTCTCTCTCCCAAGACCACTGTATCTTCTCCTCTACCTTTGTTTGCCAACCCCATATTCATCTTCTCCAAACTATTATGCAGAAACTCATTGTTCATCTCCTTAACCNCCGGCGGGAGGGGGGAAAACCCTTATTGCCCGAGTTTAAAGTATGCATAACAAAGTCATGGGTTACACTTTTTTCTTTGTGGTTGTAAAAAGCTGTAAACTAGAAATAACAGCTATTTATCTCAATGAATGTCAAATATTCCAAATCCATATTTTTGAAAGGGAAATTGCAGCAGCAGTCCCTAACCTTTCACTTTTTTTTTTTTTATAGATTTTACCGTAACCTTCACTTTGTGCGACTCACAGTTCCGAACATTTCAAAAATATGCACTTGAGATCCGAATGGATGGAAAGACCGTTATTTAGTTGACCAGAAAAGTCAAAATTTAATCAATTTTGACCAAATTAAGAAGGGCAAAATGGTATATTTACATTTTCCCAAATATTAACAATTACAGCAATTAAACTAAAAAAAAAAATCTGCCCTACCCACCCTAAACCATACCCTCCCTCCCATTTTCATCATCTTTTTCGTTTTCTTGTCAGAGATAGCCACGAAGCCGTCACTCCCTTCTCTCTCTCCCAAGACCACTGTATCTTCTCCTCTACCTTTGTTTGCCAACCCCATATTCATCTTCTCCAAACTATTATGCAGAAACTCATTGTTCATCTCCTTAACCAACCAACCCACCTTCGTCCTCTACGTTACATTCCTCGAGAGAACACCTAGCCCCTGTTTGACACACATTAAAATTTTCATTTTCATTCTTCTACTTATTTTTCAACCACACATTTTTCAATAAAATAATATTTTCCATCACGTTAACAACTTTTTTTACTTTTTCAACCACACATTCTCCATCAATCTATTATTCCAAAATAATGTGACCCAAACACGCCCCTAATTCCCTGACAAAAACCAACAAACACTCGCTTCCAGTTCTTCAAATGCTCAATTTTATTTGAATGTGAAAGTCGGGGCCAAATTTGGGGTTCATGTTCCGATTCAATATGGAAACCGAATATAGCCCGTAAGTACATATTTTCTTGAATTATTTGATTATATATTGTCAATCCAATTCCCCCGTTAAAAAATGATTTCATTCTTACTGCAAATTGGTCAAATCTGTATTTTATTGGAAATTGGTCAAAAGGTGATTTTGTTTCTTGCGTGGTGGGATTGACAGTGGTGGTGTCAATGGTTTGCGATGAGAATGATGTGGTGGTGTCGGCGGTTTGTTGTGGGATTGACGTGTTAGAGATATGTGATTGAGGTGACAATGTTGGGTAGCGTTTGGTAGTGTCGGTATTGAGACGATGGAGCCTACTAAGACAATTTTCAAGGGAAGGGTAGAGTAGGGTAGGGTAAGGTAACAGAAGCCCTGTTTCTTTTTATATTAAAATTATCATTTTACCCTTATTACATTTGGTAAAAATTTACTATTGTGGTCAACTAACGGTCACTCAGGGTGCATATTTTTGAAAGGTTTGAGACTTTGATTGACATAAAGTGAAGATTAAGATAAAGTCTGCAAAAAATTGAGAAGTTAGAGACCGTTGCTGCAATTTTCCCTTTTTATAACTTTAAAATAAGGTAAGAAGATACAATAAATCTATTTATATAAAGTTGAGTTACAAAAGTTGGGTTACAAAGTGTGTTGGCAAAATTTAGACCGTTGATTTCAAATGATTTAAAAATCTGTTTTTAAAATAATTGGTGTAGATGTTATTTTGTCAATCAATTTTGTAATCAAACTTTGTACATGTAAGCATAACTCAAGAAGATATCTTTAAAGTGAAAAAGGAAAAGGAAATTTTGATTTTTTTTTTTTGACGCGGCATTATCTGTGCCGTAGATCTTGAACTGGCGGGAAAGTGAAAGCTATAATCTATTAAGCACAGACAAACATGCCTCTATGTCAATCTCAATTGATAATTTGATTACCCGGAGAATAACTCCGGTTTCTGGTTTTCAATTTCTCTACGATCCAGCCAAGGTGGTTGAATTCGTTCATCTCTTACATTATTTTACAATCAGGTAAAAAATACCCAGATGCATCTATTAATAATTTAATATGTTTTGTTGCATCTGGTAGAAATCCTTCTTTTAAGGGAAAAAGTACCCAATTTGGATTAATATTTGATTTTTTTTTTGTCAGGCATCGTCGCTTGGGTCTTGGTTTATTCATTCTGTTCTTTGAATAAGGTACTTTTGTTTTGTATTTTTTTCTTTTGGACGAGAAAGTTCAATGCGTTCCCGCCAATTTGTTTCTTACAAATTTGTATATTTCTACTGGAGCTATGTATAACTGCACATTATACGTATATAATTGTATGTGTATGCACCCCTGTTTTTTTTAAAAAGGTGGGGGGGCGGGGTGCAAAATTAGGGTTCTGAATTTTCTTCATTCTACAGAATGTCCATTGCTCCTGAAGACTTCTCTCAATTTGACATTTCGGAACAGGTCAGTTTCATTTTTTGTTCCTGTCTAAGAATTTTATGACATGCGTATTTGTGTGTATCTGTGTGCATATATTTGTGGTGCAGGAAAAGGACAAGCTAGTCGGGGAAGTTTTCCGCTACATACTATTCAAGACGGAGCAAAATTCAGGGTGTCCAATTAAAAGGGAAGAATTAACTCAGTTGATTACTTATAAAAATTATAGGCAGAGAAATCTGCCAGCTTTTGTGATCAATGAAGCGAAGACTAAACTCTCCTCAATTTTTGGGGTATGAAATGAGGGAACTCCAACTATCCCGGGTCTCCGCATCATCTCATCATAGCCTTGCATCAACGTAAGCATTTTACAAACTGATTCTAGAATGTTACACAATTTTGCTATTCGAATGCATTTGCGTTTACAGTTTTCCTGTCTTTTGATGAAGAGGCTGTCTGGGCGTGATTATCATTCACTGAAAATTGATTTTTCTGCCTTTTTTTCTGACACAACACTCAGGCCATGAAGCTGAAATTAGACCGTTGCAGTGCTCAACGGTTAAAAAAGAACTTAAAATCAAATTAATGTCCCTCCCAGACAGCCCCTAAGATTTTTTTGAATCTTCGACATGGTGAGGAGAACAGTAATGAAGGGAAATGAGTAAGAAGTTGATTTTTTGTGATGTTTGATGTTAATTTTTTAAATATAAACTGGAGAAACTTTGAATTATTTTGCTAATTTGTTATGGTAGTTGGTTAAAAGTTTTCGTAGTTATGGATGTCTGAGAAGTTCACCATTTTTAAGGTTTCTCGGATCTTAAATTTGGTTAAGAGAAGGGCAGAAGAAACATTAATCACTCACTTCTTTCTCCTCTTAAGCTTAAGCTTAAGCTTAATAGTAGTGAATTCTAAACTTCCCACACATTCTTGATGTTATTTAAAGGAATGGAAAAAATATAAATTTGAAACTTTCCCTGCACTTTGCATTTTTTTTCCTATTCTCTCTTATTGGTACAAAATCGAGCGAAAAATACTTTAATACAATTTTTTTACTCTCCTTTCAGTTTGCTGAAAATGTGGGAAGAGGTTCATCTGGAGGTATACATAGGGCTCTTAGACATAAAAATGCTTAAACAATTACATCTTTCTGGTTGTTGGGTCTTTTGTTTTATCAAGTTGTGTGCCATGCAGTGTATGACATATCAATCAATTGTAAATTTTATAATGCCAGAATTTAATCAAGGGAAAATGCATGCAACTCTGAAGTGTTGCCTATATAAGTGGACTTGAGCAGCTTTATCATGATTGTATGTAACAATGACTTTAACATGTTTTCTTGATGGACAGCCGTTGCTGATGCAAAATTATATATAGAGCTTGTTTGGGAGGGAT